ACATATGTTTCATATGTTTGTTGTTGTTTGATTTATCATCTACGGGTTTATGTCGAATTAATTTGATGGCCTGCTCTCAGTTGGCTTGTTAGCTCAATTGGTAGAGCGCTGCACTAGTATCGCAGAGGTCAGTGGTTCGAATCCCGTACAGGCCTGAAATTTTTTTCAGGTCTGATTTTCACTATTGCTCAAATAGTGCTTTACTGCGAAGGATCGTGCACGTATACGTTTCATAACCGCAGTTCATACATATGTTTCATATGTTTGTTGTTGTTTGATCATCACTTTATTTGTAACTTTTTGGCTTCAACTACAGCTCAATCAGTATAGCTCAAGAATTTCTTGGTAAGTGCCCCACTCGATTAAGTGCCCATCTTCTAAGATGCGCCCCTCCTTTAAGTTGAAACTTTTCTAATGAGCGCCTGGGAATTTATTCGAAGAAGTACGATTTATGATATTTCAGCCAAACGAACAGCCATCAATTCATTGCGTTTTCCACGCACGCGTGAGTAAACACAGGGTGAGTGAGAGAGAGGGAGCGATAAGACGTGTTTTTTCGAACTGTTCTACTCACGCGAGTCTCGCTCTGCGCGTTCTTCCTGCGCTTTCCTTTGCTCCCCTGAAAAACGCCATAATAGCGTTTGCACTTCAGTCTTCCGTTATTACGTCCTAGGCTTCTCTTGTCCCAATCAAAAGCAAAACCTCACACACACACACACACACACACACACACACACACACACACACACAAACCGTGGCACGCACACACACACACAAACACACACTCGCACACACACACACACACACAAACACAGACACACACAAAGACACACACACACAGACACATGCACAAAAATGCGTAAATTTGAACTAGTAATCTGTGATTAGATGTGTTAAAGTGATATTGAAAGGTACTATCAGTAGTAAAATGACCTCCACATAAGCCTTCAGACGTGACGGAAATTACTGGTAGCGTGGAGCAAAAGGCAGTTTCTTATCGAAACTTGAGCCGGCTAAATGCCACTTCTTAAATGTCGTCTGTGTCGTTGTGAAGACACTACGCCACAAAGGTGGGTGCTCTCTAACACACACAAAACACCAAGCACAAACAAGCCCGAGAAGACACGCCACAACACTACTAAACGTAGGCCTACAAATATTTATTATTCTAAGTAAGACAATAGAGTAACTAACAATAACGATAATACAATGAGCTGAATTATTTACCTTAATTAATCTACAAGTATACGATAATTTAAAACTACAGTACACTTAATCTATTTACGTATTACTATTAAGATATAATAAAAAAAAAAAGGTAGGGTTTTTTTTTTCCAGTTCAGTTCAGTTCGCCCTCGCGTTCCTACGGAAGCCAAAGAGGGACAATCCAAAAATATTTTGCAAATCCCGAAAAATATTTCAAATCGCAATATTTATTTTAAACTCACCGTCGAAAAGTTTCACAAATCTAAGAAAACTATTACAAATCCTTAGAAAATTAGTGGATCCGCAAATTATTTTCTTAGTAATCCGAAAATATTTTGCAAATCCATAAAATTTATTTCGATGCAGAGGTATCAGTGTCTTGCTCGGTCTCAAATAGACTGGATGAATTGCAACTTGGACGACCACGCTTGAAAGAGAAGAACGGAGTTACGTCCCAGAACAGGAATACAAAAGTAAGAAAGAAAGAGTGACTGTATCGGCTGATGAATGAACTGTTAAAAAACTGCCAAGCTGTCTAAAAGGGATCTTGAGTAATTACAAGTTCCCGGTCAATAAGTAGGAAGTAAGAAGCTTTAAAATTCGAAAAAATGACATGTAAACAAACCACTGTGAAACAAAAAAGCTTGATTCTCCCCTAATTCCTTTTAAAATCTCTGACGAGCTGACTACTCTCTGAAAGGTTCTATGCTTTTGCTGTTTTTGTTGTTTTTATATGGATGACCACCCCTCTGAAGTCCAGCCCTCCCCCTTAACCTTCTCTCATTACATTATAGGGGCACACAACGTCAGTTTTAGGGAAAATATCTGTTCGGAAGAAGATTTGGGATCTAGAATTTTTTATTTTTGTAAAATTCAATGCTTATGCCTGCCTCTCCTAGGATTTGCAAACATCTAAAACATGGTATAACTTCCCACTTTTAAAGGATTTTTACGTTACAATTTGCGGGAGCCCTTTTTTTTTGCTGAAATTTTCGAAAAGGCAAGTTTTGACCCCTAACGATTTTCGGATCACTAGACTTTCAGCTCGGATATCCGAACAGATAAAACAATTTTAGGGGTTAAAAAATGCCTATATATACCGTTCAAATACAACAATACATTCAACAATGCTATGTTTAAGTGGTTTTGGAAATATATTCTCGTTTGGTGCCCCTGACATTAGATAAAGATTCAGCGGGAATCAAGATTTTTTTTAGCCCAAGGATAGCTTGTGATTGGATTTGTTAGTAAAAAAAAAAAAGGAATCACAATGAGACCCTGGTGCATAGAATTGGCGTAAAACTCCTTAGATGTTTCCCCTAGTTTCTATCTGACCCTCGTCACCAGAAGTTTTGTTGGTCACAGATTTTTAGTTATGTCATATGTTACAAAATTAGGAGATTCGTATAGACCACTTTCATAAATGGCTGCTGGATTAATATTCTTTTGTTTAAATTTAAATTAGCCTTTCTGGCCTCGTTCTCCAGTGCAAAATTCAAAAGAATACATTATCTCAAGCGAGGCCAGAAAGGCTAATTTAAATTTAAACAAAAGAATACTAATCCGGCAGCCATTTATGAAAGTGGTCAATAGCTTTAACATTTTAATTTTGGGGGGACAGTGTTGACCTCTTAGATTTGTGCATAACATTGTGATCAGCTGGGCTGCCTTGAGCATCTAAAACTCAATCCATAGAGAAGGAGAAATAAAAAAAGAAAAAGTGCGAAATGTGTGAGAGATTCAATGATGCTCTTGATTTAGACTAACTTCCATATTGCTTTATTGAACTTTATATCCATATTACAGGCAGTTTTTCATGTCATAATTTTCTTAAAACAGGGATGCTTTTTGTGTAAATATAAGAATCCGTCTCGTCGTTATGTATCGGTCAAATCCACCAATTGACAGCTTAAGTGCTCATACCCCTGGGAATNGGATCACTAGACTTTCAGCTCGGATATCGAAACAGATAAAACAATTTTAGGGGTTAAAATATGCCTATATATACCGTTCAAATACAACAATACATTCAACAACGCTATGTTTAAGTGGTTTTGGAAATATATTCTCGTTTGGTGCCCCTGACATTAGATAAAGATTCAGCGGGAATCAAGATTTTTTTTAGCCCAAGGATAGCTTGTGATTGGATTTGTTAGTAAAAAAAAAAAAGGAATCACAATGAGACCCTGGTGCATAGAATTGGCGTAAAACTCCTTAGATGTTTCCCCTAGTTTCTATCTGACCCTCGTCACCAGAAGTTTTGTTGGTCACAGATTTTTAGTTATGTCATATGTTACAAAATTAGGAGATTCGTATAGACCACTTTCATAAATGGCTGCTGGATTAATATTCTTTTGTTTAAATTTAAATTAGCCTTTCTGGCCTCGTTCTCCAGTGCAAAATTCAAAAGAATACATTATCTCAAGCGAGGCCAGAAAGGCTAATTTAAATTTAAACAAAAGAATACTAATCCGGCAGCCATTTATGAAAGTGGTCAATAGCTTTAACATTTTAATTTTGGGGGGACAGTGTTGACCTCTTAGATTTGTGCATAACATTGTGATCAGCTGGGCTGCCTTGAGCATCTAAAACTCAATCCATAGAGAAGGAGAAATAAAAAAAGAAAAAGTGCGAAATGTGTGAGAGATTCAATGATGCTCTTGATTTAGACTAACTTCCATATTGCTTTATTGAACTTTATATCCATATTACAGGCAGTTTTTCATGTCATAATTTTCTTAAAACAGGGATGCTTTTTGTGTAAATATAAGAATCCGTCTCGTCGTTATGTATCGGTCAAATCCACCAATTGACAGCTTAAGTGCTCATACCCCTGGGAATTTGCCATCCACGAGAAAAAAATTTTAGGGGTTAGCGCGGGGACGGGGAAGGGAGGGAACTGGGCGCAGGTGGAATTGATTGATGCATTACCAGTAACCACCCTCGGCTGTCAATCATGGACTCCAAACAACTTCTTGGAATTGAAAGAAATGAACGAAAACTCCAGAAAAAAATTCACAATGGGGGAAGGGCGAGTTTAAGAAGGAAATCAATCGCGCTTTTAAATCAGGATTCTCAATCGCCGGGCAATCTTGTAAAACAGTATTGCAATACACCGAAGGCAAATCTGGCGTCCAGTTTGAGTTGCCATTGTTCTGGACTGACTAGCCTCTCACACATGTAATAATCCTTTCGTATTTCCACGTAAAGACGAGGCTAGTCAGTCCAGAACGATGGAAATTCAAATTGGTTGCTATATTTGCATTCGGTGTATAGTAGTTTTAATGTAATTCTTACGATATAGTGTTATTTTAATTAGAATACTATTGTAATTACTGAAGATTTTTACCGAGTTTAAATAAAGAACTACTACTACTACTACTACTACTACTACTACTACTACTACTACTACTACTACTACTACTAGGGAGGCAACGTGTTGCCCCCGTTGGGCCAGCTAACTTTTTAGCAAGGGGGGCTTCCGTAAAGCTGAGTGTCATGTTGTTGCCCACACTATATGCATTTCTGGTAGGCTGGTTAAATTCTAGGGGGTGGGATTTTTTCCAAATGTGCCATATTTTCGCACTTTTGTGCAGTTCGTTTGCACTCCCTGATTTCCTTAGAATCAATGACGCACTCCGTTGATGATGTTCCAAGACAGCAAGCAGCTAAATAGTTGCTTTTGTTCAGTAGTGTTGGTTTGGATTAGTTTCGAGAGACCAGTTGCGTTGCATGGAAAAGTTGGAGAAATGCCTTTGCAATCGGCCATGCCAACATTAAATATTTTTTAAAACTTACATGGAAAGCTTCACTCTTGTTAACTTCCAAGACACGTTTCTATCAAATGGAAGCTCTTGTATTCAAGAATTTCTTTTTGAGATGAGATTTAACTTTTCCAGTAGGAGGGGCATTAAAGTACCAAACCGTAATTAAAAAGGCAAATAATATCATTTTTAGTTCCGTAGGTTTTTTGCTGGCTGGTTTGTAGAATTTAGAAAATGCGCAATATTCCCGCCAAAGCCGATCCAAAAACATTCTGATTAAAAAGTCACACTGTTGTAACAATAGAAGTGCGAGACGTATCAGGCCCATAGCCAGTTAGCTCGGTTTTCTTTTTTGGGGTCCTTTCTGAACCAGTGAGAAACCGGTGTAAACCTATAAATAACACTTTTTTCAGACATTGTTATATTCTTAGCTAAATCTCGTTTAAATATTACATGCCACTAAGTAGGATTCTTTTCGTGCATAGCATAAACGCTGCAAAAAAAATCTTCCCCCCTCCCCCCATCCACAGGAGCGATCATGGAGGATTTACGACAATTATAAAACTTATAACTTTATTATAGTATTATAATGCATGAGGCAACTGAGTCCAAGAGATAAACGTGAATACCTTCAACATCTCAGAAATATTACGTACCACTAAGTAGGATTCTTTTCGTGTATAGCTTTGGCCAAGAAATAAATGAAGCATATAATCGTTTTTGGGTTTTGTCAACTTCCAGCGGAAGATAGTGCAAATTTGTATGAAAGATTTGCTCCATTTTTTGATCCTTTACCATTTTTTCTTGATAAACCCAGGTACGTATTTCCAGTAGAAAAACATAATATTAGCAAAAATGTTGCGAAATCTATTAACATAGATTAGTGTGTTTTTCTTTATAATTTGTAAAACAAAAAGCGAAAAGCAAAACCAACAACTGTTAATGGAAGAACCGGCACTTGCGTTGTATTTTGTGTTTGTAATAAAAGCAAATTTTCGTCCAAAAATTATGCACGCAAATGAACAATGGAAGAGATTATTATAAATTTTAGCTCGAATGATAACTATCTTAAAACGGTATCCAAGGAAAGACTTTACTTAATATTGTACGTATTAGGACTTTGAGGTTACGTAATCTATTATGAAACTTATTAAACATTATAAATGGTAATCTATTAAGACTTTGAAGTTAATAGCGCTATTTATGCAATAGCGAAAATCAGACCTGAAAAAAATCAGGCCTTTTTTTAAGGTCTGATTTTCGCTATTGCCTAAATAGCGCTATCTACTGCGAGGATCGTGCATCATACGTATCTAATACCGAAGTTCAAAATATATGAACTTCATATCGAGTATTTTGGAATGACAACTCCAGATGGAACTCCTTCCAAAAATGCCCCAGGTCCAGAGGGCTCTTCCCTGTTTGAGAAAGTAGGAGAAATGGTAGACAAGTTTGTACTTCTACATGTTCAGCCAGAAGAATTGCTGTTAGAAGATGCATTACAGAGTCAAGATAACCAGTGTCAGCCAAGGTACAAATGCAGGTATCCAACATGTGAGAAAGTATATATCCATGAAAAGAGGCGTGATAACCATGAATTCAATGTTCATGGAATCAGAATTCAAGAGCAAAGTCCAGACAGGAGCCCACCAAATCCAGCAAAGGAGGATGGCATATTCAACTACTCCCACAACATTCTTAAGACAGGACTTCTTCTGAGAGACTTCCAGGATTCAGTAAAAGAAGGAGATGGTAGAGGAACAGAGTACATTTGGAAGCTCCTGATGCTGATGTTTAAACACGAAGGCGCGCTATAAAAGGAGCCTTAGGTCCCCCTGGACCATTTGTCAATCAACCGTCGTGTGATGTATAACTTATGACGTAACGTGTAGTCAAAATTGAATTTTACGTCGTAACGCGAAGCTCCTCGTTTGAAGACGTTGAAAGCCCACTGAACGACAATCGAATTCTCGCCGTAAAATAGACGCGGTGTATTTGACGGCGTAACGAGGTGAATACAGAGGAGTTTGATCCTTTTGGACGTAAAAAAGGTGTCAGAAAGTCAGATATGTGCTCAAAGTGTTTTGAACAGTGATGAACGCCATAGTAATGAACGCCATACAAAACAATTGGGGTTCCGAGTGAGAGCTTCAAGTCAATCCTTTGAGGTGAGAGTTTGTGGATTTTATTCCAACCTTTACCTTAATTGATTTTCTGTCTACTCCTATGATTGCTGAGATATCGAAGTCTAACCAAAGCTAAGTACAAGCATCTTGAGATGAGAATTTACATTAAGTTAAGTTTCAGTTTGAGCACTTTGCTGCTGCCACTCACATCCTGTATTAAACACACTTGATGTGACCTCAAGTGAATCTAATCCGTGCAGAGTGGTGTATACTATACATACAATCGGCGGGTGGTGTAAAATATACATACAATCGAACAATCGATAGAAATTTAGCAAGTTTAATCAAAATTAATCGATCGTGAATGCTAACTCTTCGCTTTGAACCCGATTCATTTTTTATTTCGTCTTTCTGTTTAAGAGTGTAGCTCAGCATAGGCCATTTTAATGCCTTCTTATCTCTATAACTTTCGTACATGACTTTTCTTCATCTTGAATTAGAAAAGATCAAACCAAAGACAAAAATCCCCTTCCCCCCTCCCCTCACGTACGAGAGACTCGCACCCAAATCGGATAACAGACGTGCTGGTAGAAACAGCTTTGTGTAACCTTTACTTTCTGCTGCAACTCAATTCACGGATTCTTCATGGTCTTTGTGTACGTGTCACGTTGGCTCGCGTGATGGGTAATTACGTGATGATATTCATGGTTACTGCTTTGTACAGATCAAAGATCATAACAACACACTCGGTTGAATACGTCTGCGCTTATTATAGGATCACGCTCTGCTAAACAAACAACAAATTATGTGTGTTTTAGCCTTTTTGTCTGTATCCCATATGTGCTGACATTATGCATACGAATGAAGTCAATTTGTTATCAGTTAATCACTGATTCTGGCAAGTTCTGCACCATAGATTTTATCGACATGTGATAGCGCGAAAGAAAAAAAAAAAAAAAGAAAAGAAAATGACAGGAAATACTGCTTCATAAGTTGTTTCGGTATGAAACCAGGAAGTAGCACTGTTAAACATAAATACACGTTGCTTATGATTAATAGATGGTTTGGTTATCTGCTGAGTCATGTGGCATAAATAGAATTAGAGAGAGGGGGGCAAAAGGTTAGGATTTCGAAAGCGGAAGTCTCAGGATGCTGCTCTAGAAACGCATTAGCTGTTTTGCATTTCGGAATGCGTCACTTGATCTGTCTCAGGCAGAAGAGAGAGGTTTCAAAAGTCATCTAGCTTGCATCTCAGTTCTTGATGATTGTATTCATTGCCATTAGCGTTTCAGACCGACTGAAATCGATTTGCAACTTGCAAAAGGATCAAAATTTGCCCTTTCTAAAGACAATGGATTAGCAGGCGTTCTGTCGGTGGGTGATCAGGCTCCCAGCCCGTATGAGGTAGGAGTTTCATCTCTGGCTGCGTTTTATTTCCAAGAGAGATCGATTACATTCGTATCTTCAGCCGTTTTTCCTATCCGGTTCTCGAATTAAGCATCATTAATACCTAGGCTTGTATTTGTTGACCAAAATCATGGTAATAAGATTTCATGGCATGATCAAAACTGGAGGCTCACCGACATATGTAGTTGTGGTAGACATGTTACCATTAATATCCAAGCAACAGTTTGGGCTTTATCGAGCTTGATCAGAAGAAAATGAGAAGTATAGCTTGATTTGGTTCTTTTGAGAACATAATTAACCATGCATCTTCACGGTTTAATAGGTTTGATTAATAATGCGCCTTCAAAATAAAATATTCAAAGTTTGATTCCATCCGAGAGTAAAATTCAAAGAAAGTCATCATGTATGAAACAGAACTGGTTAATCATATAAATAAGGCTACCAGCTGACACAAAGAAAACATCTAGAGCTTTAGTTGGTTTTGAAAGTCAATATGGCGGTCAGCGTGCCCCGAAATTAAATGTAATAATCCGTTTAACACACAGATAGTACGTACAATAAAGCTTGCAAACCTATAGCAGATTTATGAATTATAGCCAAACAACAGCTTGAATTAACCTCCTCTTCATCTGTTCCTTCTGGCGTCTCCTCGCTGAACTGACCATTGCTTTCAAATTCCCCATTTCAAAAAAGAGTGGGGGAGTGGGTCGAGTTCGCCGCGCAAGTTTGTCTGGGAACGTTAGTCGGGACTCAAATCTTTGCTATAGATTTGTGTCCCGAGTAACGATCCCAGACAAACTTGCGCGGCGAACTCGACCCACTCCTCCACTCGTTTTTGAAATGGGGAATGGCTGTGTAACGTCACACAGGCAGGAATTTGCTTACACCGACAAATACTAGAAAACAAGCGGTCAACCCATCCTGCGCTTCCTGCCCTTTAAAGATTGGAAATATGTTTTTATTAACGCTTTGAATTGACATTCGCCGATTGTTCTGAGAATTAATGGATGATCTCTTCCGCTTCGAACAAGACGCCATAAAGCGGATAAATATCCATAGCGTCCATAGTATTTGTTTGAAAGGTGGATAGTGTTATTCACTTCTCATCCCGCGCGGGAAGAATTTAACCTAAACTGAAAACAATTTTCTATTAGCCTGATCTGCTTCTCTGTGTCGTTTGAAATGAAGTGATTTTGTTTCAATTTCAGGAAAGGTTCTTCATGGCCTTAGCAGCGGCACCATTGTTTCGCTCAACAAAAGAGACAACTAATTACGCCCGGTTATGCAGGCTTTTGGTGGATGTCAGTACACATATCCTGAGAGAAACATTCGACAAGAAGCGTCCACCAGGAAACCTGGACATGGTTTTGTCAAGTCCCCCAGTTCGTGCTTTGCTTCAATTACTCAAAAGTAGAAAAGTGTTGAATCCATCACAATGGGGAAGACTATATCCTAGCATAAAATCTTCAGTTTCATCAAAGAATTTCGATATCACTCTACTGATGGTTCTGCTGAGAAATATTTGTAGTCTTCATCCTCCACCTACCGGCTGGGATAAATTCCCTCCTGCGACAGACACAACCCTTGAGGCAGATATTGTCCGCATCAAGTGCTACAGAAACGCAGTTTATGGTCACGCCAGTCAGGCCTCAGTTGATGACGCAAAATTCAATCAGTACTGGCAGGACATCCAAGATGCACTGGTGAGACTGGGAGGAGCAGGTTACCAAGGTGCCATTGATGAACTGAAAAAGGAATGCATGGACCCTGATTTCGAGGAACACTACAAAGAGCTTCTTAAACAGTGGGTGATGGATGAAGACAGTATGAAGAAAACCCTGGATGAAATCAAAGCAGACTTGAATGATTTGAAACAATTCATGATCAAACCTGAAAAGAAGACAGGATTGGAAGGTAACTTTGTTTTCAGTTGCTGGAGATCAAACAGTAGGCCAAGAATTCTTATTTGTGGCCTCATTTTCTCTTGCATGAATTCAGTATTTACAGGGTTCTCACCTGATACCGGCAAATGAAACACCAATTTGACATTTAGAATTGCTTTAAAAAACCACCCACAGCCCTCCTAACTCATGTGAAAAATCTATACATGTCAGCATCGACTTCTCATTAAACGGGATGTCATATGCATGGATGGGTTTGGCAATAATATACATTTAAATAATCACTTTCAGTATCCCTGTTTGTATGATCTTCTCAGTTGAGCAAAAATGCTGTTCATATTTTACGCATGGGCAAAATATAGTGCTCCAAGCCAGAGCATGGGAAAAGCTAATGCAGATCTGGGTTTCCTTTCCAGGTGTGGCAGAATACACGAACGCGTTGAAAGATTCGATAAAGAGCCAAACGAAGTTCCTTACTGTAGCTTCTCCTACCTCATCTAAGGTAAGAATAGATGACACATACACCAGTCTTCTGATACAACATGGAAGAAAGCAAGTCGAAGACTTTGATTTGGAAAGAGAAAAACACCTTCAGCAATACGGTCAAGTGAGAGGAAAGCCAGTCAAACACTGTCAAGAAATTTTCGCCTCTGACACCGATTGTGAAGAGGAAAAGAATCCAAAAACTGTTCTTGTCACTGGGAAGGCAGGGATTGGTAAAACGCTGTTCTGCCAAAAGTTGATCCGAGATTGGGCTGACAACAAATTGTTCCAATCCCAAACAAACTCGGTGAAACTACCTGACTTTAAGTTCGCTTTCTTGTTAACATTCCGTCAATTAAATCTACTTGGGGACGACAGTGTTACTTTAAAGGATATCTTAATCCGATCCTCAGTGCTAGATGATAACTCAAATATTGACGACTCTTTATTTGAGTACATTGTTCATCATTCTGAAGAGGTTTTGATCATCCTCGACGGGTTTGATGAGTGTTCAAAACAAAGTTTCATTGCGAGTAATTTGGATGAACAGTATCCAAATATTGCCCAGGAGGAAATGCCAGTTGCAGCACTATGTGCCAAGCTGATCAAAGGGAAAATATTGAAAGATTCGTTTGTCATGATAACCTCAAGATCCGATGAGTCTGATGACATTAAGGATAAAATTGGCTTTGACCGGTGCGTAGAAATCACAGGATTTTCCGAGCAACAGGTGAAGGAATACATTGAAAAGTATTTCAAAGAAAACGAAGTAATGAAGAAAGCTGTGATGGACCACATCACCAAGAATGAAAATCTTGTCAGCTTTGCCCACATTCCAGTTCTCTGTTTTCTGATGTGTTCCTATTTTGAGTATGTCTGGCAGAAATCGATGAAAACTGATGATCTCCCGGTCAACGCAAGTGACATTTACTTTGAAGTGGTTCATATGTTTTTTAAGAACCATAGCAAAACGAAGGAAATCCCTCTTGAAGCTACGATGGAGAAGCTGTCAATTTTAGCGGCTCAATTGCTCCGGGAAAAGAAGTACCTCTTCGCGGTCGAAGACATGAAGACCTTAACCCCAGAAGAAGTTGAAAACTTACGAGCAAGCGGTCTTCTTCATTGCGGTCCCATGTTTAGAAAATCTTTCTCAGAAATGACGAAATATTTCTATTTCACCCATTTGACACTCCAGGAATACTTGGCGGCCCATTGGTTTGTGAAGCAGAAAAAGATTCCCTCCGGAGAAAACGCATCAGCAATGGTATTGCAATTTATGTCAGGCATTTTATCAAAGCAGAACGACAAAGCTTTTATGGAACAATTGATTGAAAGACTCCACCAGAGGTCTTCAGCTAAGCATCCCGCCGGACTAGTGATGATGAAGTGTCTCGCTGAGTACAAGAACGTAAAATTTGCACAAAATGTCGTGAAGAAATACTACCGTGATTTTTGTGATCGTGATGGAAAGATCAAATTTCTACATTTGACTGATGTGGACTGCATTGCCCTGTGTTTTCTGTTAGATGTAATCAATACTTTAAATTTATTTCAAATGTCTGCAAGGAGTCAGTCATCCTCTCAACTGACTCGCACACCGTCGGGTAATCGACGATATCTCCATAGGCGTGTAACCCCGAATGCAGAGGAAACTTCTAGAAGAGTTCAAACTTCCTCTCACCGGTCCTGTTGGGCACCGGTTGAACAGCTGACTCTCTTCAATTGCCAAATGACACAGACTGGATTACGAAAAATCTGTGAGGCGCTAAAGAAAAGGCTCTGCACCATCACTTCATTACTCCTTTCTGAGTGTAATTTAACCGAAGACTGTATTGCTACGATCGCTGAATCGTTGCCATCGACTAAGTTGATCGAACTGTCTCTTAAAGGAGCTCGTATTGCTGATGCCGGTGTTGTCAGTCTATGTCAAGCATTACAGAAAGCAACTACTCGTAAAGTGGTAGAAAAACTAAATCTGAGTGGCAACCAGATCACAGATGATGGTGTTGTCAGTCTATGTCAAGCATTGCAGACAGAAAAGTGCAAAGTCACTGAGCTAAATATGAGTGGTAATCAAATCACCGATACCGGTGTTGCCAGTCTATGTGAAGCTTTACAGACATCAACATGCAAAGTCACTACACTGTATCTGGGCTGTAATCAGATCACCAATGCCGGTGTTGCCAGTCTAAGTAAAGCATTACAGACAGAAACATGCAGAGTCACCGCATTGTATCTGGGGCGTAATCAGATCACCGATGCTGGTGTTGTCAGTCTAAGTGAAGCATTACAGACAGAAACATGCAAAGTCACCACATTGTCTCTGGAGCGTAATCAGATTACCGATGCCGGTGTTGCCCGTTTATGTCAACCATTAAGGACAACAACATGTAAAGTCACTACACTAGATCTGAACTGGAATCAGATCTCCAATGACGGCGTTGAAACCCTCTGTCAAACTTTACAGAAGGCGCATTGTCAAGTCACTACTTTGCGCTTGAGTGGTAATTCTCAGATTACCATTGTTGGTAAGAGGCGTCTCAAAAACGTTTTGAAGAGAAAACCCCATCTTAAACTGGATATATAAACAAAGTTGAAATGGTAAATTGGCCACCGTAATGATTACAAAAGCTGACGTTTCGAGCGTTAGCCCTTCGTCGGAGCGAATAGAGGAATTGTGGGTTGTGTGTGCTTTTAAAGGCAGAAAATGGAGCTACGTTATTGGTGGGTGCATGGCAACGAGAAAAACATGAATAAATTAGTGGAATGAAAAGCGTTCATTGATCCCTGTGGGATTTAGACTGCCGGTTTGAAAGATGAGCTTTTGTTCAAGATTTTTACGGCTTTCCGTGCCACCTAAGTGCAAGGAAAGACCGCAGATTGCCATATGTTGCTTAGAATGATTGGGTAAATTAAAATGTCTAGCGACTGGTTTCGATGTGTCCTTGTCATTCCTTTCCACGTCTCGAAGGTGTTCTCGGAATCGGTCACCTAGTCTTCTGCCTGTTTCGCCGATGTATATCTTTTTGCAATAAGTGCAAGTTATGCAATAGATTACATTAGCGGAGGTGCACGTGAAGTGATCGGTGATCTTAATGGATCGTTTAGGTCCCGATATTTTATCAGTGTTGTGAATGAAAGGACACGTTTTGCATCGTGCACGAGCGCATTTAAAAGTGCCTGGTTGCTCATTAGTCTGAAAAGAACTTCTGACCAAAAAATTGCCTAATCTTAAACTGTTTGGGTTTCCAGAAGATACGTAGAAGACAAGTTAAGCGGCATTAGTTGCTTAAGAAAGTCTAAAAGGATAGAAACAGTGCAATCAAATATGAGTGAACGGTGATTTCATTTAGCACCAGATATCTCTAGCAATATCAACAACATGTCAAATATTTTTTCTTTAATCACATCTTCCAGAAACGTTCCCGGAAAGAGGCTTTTTAGAAACAGAACTGCTGAAAGGTGGCATAAGTAAATTTCTGAAATAACTTTTTCAATTGAAAAAAAAAAAAAAAAAAAAAAACAAGACTGATATAATGATAATATCACCTTTTATTGCGCTTCATCTGCGAAAGCGCTTGCGTTTGAGGAAACTGATTCAATGCTCAAGCTTGAGATTATAATTTTTATTTACCGCTAGTCAGTTGCTGAAACTGTGTATATGTAGGTGGCTGGTTCGAAGTATTTTAAGGAAACTAGACAAGTGTCCATGTTTCAGTAAATTATTTACTTGCTTGTTGACAGGGATAAAAGAAAAATGTGATTTCAAGTCCTGATGTGTTTTATTTATGCTAGAGAGCATTTATTTTCCTCATCATGTTATAATAGTGATTAGTCACCGAAGTAAATAAACCTTAAAAAATGATTTTACTGTTTGTTATTGAAGTATATTTGCGATTGGTAAACGATTATTGCGGAGCAAACCCACTTTGGAAGATATATCTTATCGGCGTCATTAACAAGCTTTTAGAAGCACTTTCTTTCCTGAAGTGTTCTCAAGGGAATTCTTCTGTAGCAAAAACTTTCGTTTCTTTATTAAGAAAAAGTTGACGTGCATATTTATGGACCACAAATTTGACACTTGGCCATTGTTCTGCCAAATTGACCACTTTCATAAATGGCTGCCGGATTAATATTCTTTTGATTAAATTTAAATTAGCCTTTCTGGCCTCGCTTGAGATAATGTATTCTTTTGAATTTTGTACTGGAGAACGAGGCCAGAAAGGCTGATTCAAATTTAAACAAAAGAATATTAATCCGGCAGCCATTTATGAAAGTGGTGTATTGACCTAACGGTCGGTCATATATAGGGCCATATACAGAGCTATACACAGCTATGCAAGGCTATACACAGCTATACACAGCTATGCAGGGCGATACACAGCTATACAGGGCTATACACAGATATGCAGGGCTATATACAGCTATACATGGCTATATACGGCTATATACGGCTATACAGGGCTATACACAGGTATACACAACTATACACAGCTATACAGGTCTAGTACACAGCTATACGGGGCTATACACAGTTTTACAGGGCTATACACGGCTATAAACAGCTATACACAGCTATACAGAGCTATACATGGCTATACACGGCTATTCATAGCTATACATAGTTATACAAAGCTATACAAGGCTATACAAGGCTATAAAAAAATATACACAGCTATACAGAGCTAAACACAGCTATACAGGGCTATATACAGCTATACAGCGCTATACGCAGTTATACCGAGTTATATACAGCTATATAGGGCTATAGACAGCTATACACGGCTATACACGGCCATATAGGGCTATAGACAGCTATACACTGCAATGCACAGCTATATACAGCTATACACAACTATAATAATAATAATAATTTAATATTTATATTGCGCAAATTAACATGTGGATATGATCAAATGCGCATCACAACACTTTTCAGGGGACTTTGGCCGGACTGCATCAGAAGTTTACAAACAATCTAAGGAAACTTATTTGAAGATGCGCCCTCTCCCCAATTCCCAGTAAACAGGAGAGACCACATCACAGTAATCTCGTGAGTGGGTTCTTTTACGTCCCCTGCCTAACCAAATTAACTTATTACTAGATCCAGGAGACGGGACCTACGGTTTATTCGTCCTTATCCGAGAAGACTAGAATGTCTATCCATTTCTTGATATTATAGAAAGGTAGCGCATTCTCCTCAGTTATTTTAAGACCTTGAGTGTTGGTCCGGCCGGGGCTCGAACCATCGACCTCGACCTCCCGCACAACAGTCCAGCGCTCTAACCAATTGAGCTAACCGGGAGGCGGTTA